GTGAAATAAATTAATAAAAACCAGACGCATTTCGTTATTTAATGCCTAAATTTAAATGGGGTCATGCGTGACCCCATGTTGTGGTCTATGAGTTAGGTCTTCCACGTTGTGGTTCTAGGGTTAATATAATCCCCAAATTTAAGTCTTTAATGTCTTCTGGTGTAAACTGGTGTAAATCGTTGCAAGAAACGAATGATGACTGAGAGTGTACGATACGTTAGAGACGCGTTACACCAGAAAGCAGCACTTAACGAGGCGTTTTAGCACTAATTTCGGCGAATTTAAAAAAATCATTAACAAGATATTAAGAGCTTACATTTGGGGATTATATTAAGAATAGTGCTGTTGAGGAATGCATTTATTTTCATTATATTTCAAAGATTTTTTTTCTTTCTTGGAAACTGGAAGGAATTAAAACTTTAAAATATATGTATATTATAGCCTTATTTATTCTGCCAAAATTTTAATTTTTAAAAAAAATTGCTTTTTGAGATATGCTTGTTCGAAAATTATAAAGGATGCTGTAATCGCCTTAATAATTTTAGGGAATTCTTGCATGAAAATGTAATTGTACTTTTTTAAAAAGAGTTTATTAATAATGTTTAATATTGTTTGAAATAAATTAGGTGGGTCATTGACCAAATGACCTTACAGAGAAGCCTCGCCTGATCAAGAGTAAAAAATGCTCAAGAATTCCAAGAATAAGTAAATAGATATCTCAAATCAATCAAAAAAGACACTTAATGAAAGCTCAAAATGAAAGTCGCGTGACAATCTGGGTAACAGTCAGCTTCTTCTGACGGAAACTACAAGTTTATAAATCGGCCTTTAGGCATAGAACTACAATGTCGTAACAATAATAGTTTAAAAAAACCAAAAATGTGTACACCAATTGGCTGATAGACCCATACGTGACTAACGAAGGATTAATGTTTATAAATAATGACTCACAGAAATAGATAGATGAAAATGTTGTCAAGATACCAAAGGCCAGGTTCTTCAGATAGCTAGTAAATCAACTTCAACAAATCTTTGAAATTTGCTGATATATGCACAGATTTTTCAACAGCATTTGATAGGTTATACACAATTTATTAACAAGTAAATTGGAGTCTCTCAGGATAGAAGAATTTTGAATTGGATCAAAAGTTTCATATCGAATAGAGTGTAGTATGTCAAAATGAATAATTTAGTATTAAACGCACTAGATGTTCCTTCTGGAGTACTACAGGGTTCACACTGTGGACAATTTTATTTTATTTATTTATTTATTTATTGTTGATATTGGTGAAGTATTTGATCACTTAAAATATCTTCTATTTGCCGACGATCTAAAAATATGTAAGCCAATAACAAACAATGGAGACCGTGATTTGTTGCAAGCTGATGTAGATAGATTTTACAACTGATTCATACTTAATGTTCTCGACCTTAACACTTCAAAATGTTATGCCATAACTTTTTATATGAAAACAACTACTATTATCAGGATTATAGGTATATTGGCAACATTTTTAAAAGGGTGAATGAAAGCAAAGATTTCGACACTTATTATCATTAGGAATCATATAAAAAAAAAATTCTATAGGATTTAAAAATATCAGTTTTTTAATTAGAAACAATAAAGAATTTTGAAAATACGGAAACAAATCTCAAAAATTCCCCTACGAATTATAACCCTTTCCGGACGAGCAAATTTTTTAGATTTCCTCTCCAGACGGGCGAATTTTTAGCTTGCGTGATATCACGTTTCCCGTCTTTAACGGTTGACGAGATAACCCGTCTCCCGTATTGCACCTTTATGGCGTTTCCCGTCCTGAATGTCAAATTTTTACTATTTTTTTTTTATAATAATACACTACATTTTACTTCTCGAAAATAGGTATTAGCAAAAAAAAAAGAAGACGCCTTACAAAAAAGTAATGTCCAACTAATCTACTCTTAGGTACTAATAATTTTTTACAATGTGATATCTTTCAAAACATAGTATTATGCATGAAGGTACATCACAGGAAATACAACAATACGAGGTCTCCTTCCTTTTTTTTATTTTTTGAACATACAACACACCTTCTATAGGTTTTAAATTGGTTTCAGTTTTTGGAAGTTGGTTCGGAAAATGTCGTGCAATAAGTCGCAAAGGTGACTCCGCACTTTCACTTCTTCTTGAGGTTGACTGGGGAGACTTATCCTCACTATTTCAATAAAAAAAATGTGCATCCCAACTCAGCAGCCTGCCTGGTAAACGAGTACTAATCGAATCGTCTTGGCTCTTGGCTAGTCTGGCTTGCGCCCAACTACTGCGATTTATATCAATATTCCTCCACCCCAGTAGATTTTAACCAATATTTGAAGCCTACGTGCAAAATTTTATACGGCCGTGGTAGCCCGCTTTCCGTCTTAAATGCATAAAATCATATCGCGTTTTAACACGGCTCCCGTCTATCGGGCACTTGGTCTCCCCGAACCCCAAACTTGAAAACATATACTTGGAGATTTGAAAACTAGCCTGTCTCCGCCGAGATTGGAACGCAGACATCTTTGTTCTGTACACAAATGCCCTTGTCGCTAGACATGACGACATTGACTACAACTTATTTCAGATAATTCTGACCTTTCGGATTTACGATATATTAAATTCACAATTTTCATACTCAGGTTTACGTCGCTTAACGTACAAAGCTTAACTCACGCAGACAAAGATATGTGCTTAGTATGCCTCAGCATTTCTCATATATATCGATGCTGCAAAGAGGTATTTGAAGATTTGAGAAGAAGCCTAAAACGGCGTCTGCCCGAACTAGTACATCAAATTGCTCGTCATGGTCTAGCGGTAAGGCATTTGTATACAGAGCAAAGATGTATGGGTTCGAATCCCACTGGCGACATGCTTTTCTTCAAATCTCCAAATATTTCTTTTCACCTTTTGGGTTCGGGGTTGGTCTTAATAATTCATAGGAGGATTTGTTTCCGAATTTTAAAACTTATTAAACTATTGCCTCGTGAATATAATGACTGCCCGTTCGATAGCTTCTACAGATATCTAAGTTCTTTTAAAACTGCCTTAATTTTGATGTAAATAACATTGAAAAGGCTCCCTATTTATTTCCTTTATTTTCTTTTTATTTTTAAAATTTTGTTTATATTTGTATATTTTTTATAGATTATTATTATATGCTTATCTTTCCCTTTAAATAATTTTACTGTTATTTTAAGCTTGTACGCATTTTTAATTATGTCTGTGATTATCAATTTTAACCGTGCTAAATGTAGTTTTAATTAATTTTGTATTTTTTCTTAATATGTACCGGAAATCCGTAAATAAATTAATAAACATTGAAATTACATGTATTGCCGTGCCCAAATTATTTTGTCTACTGCCGTTGGTTTGCCATCCCCGACTAAATAACCATTAATTCAATAGTCAGACCTATTTTTAGAACCCATTCGAATACTCATCCTCGACAGGACATTCTGTATAATAAAACCTCTTTTCGAGTCCAATGTTTACATTGCGATGTGCTTAATTCTCTAGAATTAATTTCCCAAAACGTTAAAGCGACGCTGTGTCGTAAACGTTATTCGATGGCAATCAATGAAGTCAGTGACATTCTATTTTTGGAAAAGCGATTTTAGAAATGGGTATTTAAAAAATTCGGCTGCGGTAAAGCGACCGAAAAGGTTTTCCAACTATGAAGTAAGCGATAAATTCAAGGTTTTCCGTGATGTAAAACAAATAAAACAGGTGTTAAATTAGATAGAAATCGGTGTCGTATTAGTGATGGTTCGACTGTAAAATGAATTTTAATAAAAGTAAAAACACAAGAGCTAATGAGAAAAAATTACTTAATAAATTAACAAATTATTAATTATAAAATAAATAGCGAAATGTTTAATGGATTTCCTATTTTATGATAAATAAAATGTATTTAAAATAAATTAACAATAGTACATATTTTTTCATTTTTTATTAAAAACAGGGTTGATTTTATCGAGAATTCAACCCCAGACGCGAAACCCAAAGTTGAACTCTTAACTATTTGAGCCATGCAGACATATATCAAGTGAATTATCTAACCATATTAGTGTATCAATCAAAAAGAAAAATATATTTTTTATTTTGTAGTTACTTTTTAAATTATTTTAATAACTATTGTTAAAAATAATAAGAGGTATAAGAATCAATGTTAACAATGTAATCATTAAATTAATTTTACTATTAAAATAAAAATTACATAAATCTAAATATAAATGATACATTTGACATATTTGATAGCTGATGCGGAAAGTTGATTCTTATTCATACATGGGAGGAAAGTACATTTTTATCCACACATATGTGATATAGGGCACTTTCCATAAGATTAAATAGACAGATATATGTTACTTTTCTAAGTGGTCGTAGGAAAAAAGTTTTCATTGTGATAAACTATCAAAAAAAAAAACATATTTAACATAGTAATAGGGAAACTATTACTGATACTGATACAAGTATTATTAGGTATTCAACTCGAAATTTTTATGCCATATTTTTTTTTAATATAAATTAAGTACTAAATGGCTGGTTTATCTGTTTGTCTTTGGATTTAACAAAAAAGAAAAACTTATAATGAAGATACGTCATTGCTGTGTTTAAAATCCACATTCTCTCAAGAGGTGTCATGTCATTTGTAAACTCTAACTGTCGTATTTATTGTGTTATGGCCACAGAACTAGGGAGAATAAATTTGATGTATCTGTCAGACATGTCAATTACTATTTATGAAATGTGAATAAAATCTAAATTGAAACCATATTATTATTGTTTTAACCATAATTTAACTAATGTTTACAAGACCTAAAATGACTTAACTATTACAAAAATTCAGAAACGATTTATATATCCAATGAACAAATTTGTTTGCTTCATAACTAATGTGCACCCATGGTCATTTTATTATTTTATGACCTTTTAGAATAAAATGTTTTTCTTCATTTAATTTAGCAAAAAATAAATTTACCTTTACACTCCTTCACGAAATTACTAGGGAACCATCCGGTCTCGCCATTCAGGGTACCTTCCCACCAACCATCATCTCTTTGGGTGACAGTAATGATGTCACCCTTTTTGAAGTTTAACTGAAAACAAATATAGAGCATTTCACAAATTGGTTTTAAGGTGCAGTATCTGTTCTGGCCTAGTGCCACAGTTACTTCCGATATTTTTATAGTGCAAAAATACAGGATATCCCAAAAAATTTCAAATTAGAATAAAACCTTAAAACTAATATTATTTACTTTAATTAGCTAGTTTTCTAATATGAAAATATACAAATTTAGTAAAAACAATATAAATAAGCCAAAACATAGATAACACAACCCCGGATTTTAAATGTAGTTACAGATTTAATTTTCTCTGGGAGTGCAGTTTTGATATAAAAGTTATTTCTGTTCCATATTGGATAACTGTGCACATTAAAGTGATAATTAAGGTTCTCTTTTAGGTATATCGGAAGTAACCCGCGTTTGATTTCATAAATAAAATTAATACATTCCTTGATAAGTTTCAAGAATTAGATTAATGGAAGTATATTTTGAACAAGATATTATCCACATTGCCCTATTCTGCAGCTTCTGCAGTTAACTCAATTTGATTTAGAAAAGAGTATTATAGAACAGTAATTAAAATTAGGTATAATGATAGTGTTATATATAATACATTTAGTCCATTGTGATAAGCCAAATGAACTTATATATATGAAATTTAAGTTAAATACAATACTTTTGATGACAGTGTTGGCATGGTCTGTGAATTTCATCTGTTTGTCAAGCATTATCCCTAAGTATTTGAATTTGTCTACTAACTGTATAGAATTTCTTCCAATTGTGATGTTATATTGTTTATCAACAAACTACACATAGTTATTACTTACCAGCATACATTTTGTTATATTTTTGTTGATTTTAACAAATTATTGAAACACCGCTTATAAACATTTTTCAGTCTCATTAACAACTCTTACTAAGTTATCTGGAATCTTACAAGAAAAATATATAAGGGCATCATCAGCAAACAAGTGAATGTCACAATGACCACTGACATCAACAATGTCATTGATATAAAACTAAAAATATCAGGGGACCTAATATAGTTCCTCGTGGAATACTATTGATATAGTTAATTTCTTGTTATTTGTTTCCTGTTACTTAAATAATACACACACCACTCCAATGATTGCTCTACTATCCCCATACTTTTTAATTTTGTTATCTAAATTTTGATCAACAGTCTCGAACGCCCTTTGGAGATCTATGAAAATGCCAACGTTAGATAGTTTTTATCAAATTTCTATTTCCAGTCATATAAAACACACTGAATAGCTGATTCGCCACTATCTTGCTTCTGAAGCCTGATTGTATTGTTTATTATATTCTGAAAAACAATTTGTTCATAAACAGGAACAGAAACTATCTTAACAATTTTTAAAACATAAGGTATTTTTGACATCTCTAAGGATGAATTTATTAACTTTAAAAGTGGTTGTGAGATGTTCGAGAATAGTTTTTAAACAGTGAGCATCACCTGTATTGCATGGTCAGTGATCTACCTGTATTGCACAGTCGGTGATTTCTTTTATTAAACACAATAACCGTTATTATAAAATAATATGTGGCCTGTGAAGAATAAATAGATTTTAAATTGCTACAAAAATCAACCACCTAATGCTATTTGTTACGGAGTATTACAAGTTTGAATATAGTTCAGTTGCCTCTGTTGGTATTGTAATAATCCTTAGAATTGGTTCATTCATTTTAATTTATGAAAGTGTACAACACTTGCAATAAGTTTTTCTCTTCTTTTTATTATACCGGTAATATTCAATAAAAATTGACTATTTACCATTAACCAGCAAAAATAATAAAAGGAAGGGCACAAATAATGATAGACTGCTGGCAACAAGTGAACTGGTCGAGGAACAGATTAAGACTTCACAAAATAAAAAAAGGAATAAGTGCGCAGAATGCGACCAGAAAATTAACGAAAGACAAGGTCTTGAAATAGCAGTAGAAAACAACTAAATTAGTTTATACAAATTACGATAAATGTTTGAGTTGTTTTACTGGGAAACAACAGGTATGTCTATTTCTATTTACCGATATCACCAGTGATGCTCATGGCTTCCTGAGAATTTTGTTTCACCTAGGTGCTATGAGTATCACCGATGATCATGATTTCCTTTCTTGTAAGCCATAAAAATAATAAAAATTCAGTTCCCATAAATTTATTGATTTATTTTTATATGGGGAATGACATTTTCATATGTGGTCAGCCAACGTGTTAAAACATTAATGTTAATGTGCTACTTTTATTTTGCATTGCAAAAAGAATGTCTCTCGAGGAATCAACCCTAACAGAGTTGAAACATCCCAAGAACATGTCTCTTGTGTCTGTCTAAAATTTGATAATCTGGTGTTATATGATCAATATTATTAGCAATCGATTGGATACTGTCTAAGTAAAATTTATTAAGAGCATTCAGCATGCCAAAAATTTTTTTTATAATAACATCATTTTCTAGTTCAAGTTCGATTAATTAATTTGACTTATTATTTTTTGGGAGCAGACATTCAGCCAAAGTGCTAAAACAATCTAAAACTTTATTATTCCAAATCTCCTTGGAGTTTCCCCTACTTTTGTAAATATTTTTCTCTCTGCGTTTACTTTTATCTATTCTAATTACATTAACAGCCCTATTTCTATGTATTTTATATTCATTCTAGTTATTTTCTATTTTTTCTTCTGGGTGTTTTTTATATACAAGATCTTTGTACCTTGTGGCAGCTTTTATATTTTCATTCCAACATATTTTTATTCGTTTCCTTGGCGCTTACAAAATCTGATACATTTAAAATAGTTGTTACAAAATTATCTTATTTTGCATTAATGTCTTAAAATAAATATGCTAGTCCCACTTTAATGCTTAAAGTTTGTTATTTAATAAATCAAAATCTAAATCATTTCCTCAGCTTTCAATTTCGAAAGCAACTATTTACTAGCATATTTTTTATTAAAAGCATAAAATGATCTAAAATTCTTGGTGTTTTGATAACCTCAACTGAGACTGAATCATTGTTCATTATAACTAAATCTATTAATGTATCTCCACCATTTCTATTTGGTCTTGTACATTCTGTAATATTTTTTACTCCAGTGTCAACCAAAATATCCTAAATTTCGTACTGTAAGTGTTTTAGTAAACAAGTCAATATTGAAATCTCCAGAAACAATAACTATTTGAGACTTATCACATACATTTTCTTCAGCACAAGTGCTAAAACAATCTAAAACTTTATAGAACTACTGCTAGGTAACCTATATAACAATACAATAAAAAAATGTTTGGAATACAAATATTAAAATATTTTAAAACTTTCAGTTATCTTTGTAAATTAAAGTTCCCCCTGTATGCCTACTTTCACTGTCAATTCTATAATTTTTGTATCTCTCAACATATATTTCTGAATCATAAATACCCTTAGTCAAAAGTTTCAGAAACACATCTTTATCTGTGTCGGTTATAAGAAGTTAGGGTTAGATTTTATCCAGAATACTTGGGTCTATTGTATTCCCTTGCTTTCCCCATATGCAAGTTATTACTGATATATTTATCAGAATAGTCCTGTGCCTTTGATTTGTTTTACTAATTGCCCTATCAAGTGATCTTGAGGCGTTATTTACAGTTCTAGGCTGAAAAGGGCGAGTCGCCACCTATCAAGAGCTTCACATTCGAAGATAACACAAATATCCTCAGTCAAACAAGTTTCAAAAACACGTACTTAATAAAAAAAAATTTAGTTTTAGGTGCATCATTTGTTAAACAGCTCGATCGCAATTATAATAGCAATTTCTGTGATAGTTATTTTTCAACTTAGTCTAACAGGACTCAAACGGACAGTATCAATATTATAAAGAGGTTTTATGTATATTGTTAGTTTTAGTGCAGTCTTACAGACAACTGGAATTGTTCAATGATTTTTGTAAATAATGTAGGTAGGTATGTAAGTCATTTGGAATTAATTTTCTGTAGAACTTTAATAAATAAACAAAAATGAGTTTACATTATTTAGTAAACATTACCAGGTTAATAAGTGTAAAAAGTATTTTAAAATATTTTTGAATATTAACTTCAACTTCACTCTGTTTATATTTTAAAACTAATTTAGAGTGTATAATAAAAAACCTGAATTTATCAAATCCCCCAATGTTATTTGTAAATTTAAAATTAGCTCAAGACAACTCTTGATCACCAAAGGTTTAGATAAACCTGTCTTTTTGTATTGTGGTTATTTTAACTTATAAAAAGTGTATGTTTATATCTTAAATTATTTTTACTATATTCATAAAAATGAATAAAATAATTGGTATTATCCGTGGAAGGTACTGCTTTTGGTACTAAACTGAAGATTAAACTAAACTTAAATTAGTACTGAGAAACAAGCTTTCCTTAAAAAATTCATTTCAAACTATGCACTCAAGAGATCATTAATTAATTAATATGCATTAAGGATAACATTACTGCAATCGTTATTTTTAGTTTTCTTAGAAAGTAAAAAATGTTTATAAAATAAAAAACAACATTCCAACTAATTATACATAGCATTTGACTCACAAATATTGTAATGAATTTGCCAAAACTTGTAATAATACCATATATCTATTAATAAAAATAATCCAATCACTCACAGAAGCAACTGAAATCAGCCAATATGAATACTAAATAATTAGTGTACATATAATAAAATCACTCACCTCATCATTGTTGGTTCTTTTGTAGGAAAAAACAGCTTGGACTACCAAAGGTTCATTGGCCATGGCTGCCTGTTGTTTCCATTAAAGAAATTCACTGAAAAACTGCAAAATTCATAACACTTTACAGGTAAAATAATATAAATAACAGGGAAATTATAAATCGAATCTATCTCTGAACATCGGTTCCAAATTATGACCATGATTTGGGAGAAAAATAATTTTTGAGTACTGTCACATTCTTGGCACAGCTGGGAAGGATTAAATTTGGATTTGAGCCAAAAATATAACGCATTATGTTTTCATGAATTAATGTAGCACATTATGATAGAAGGAAAACCTTTCAAAATTCACCTACTAACAGAAATAAAATTATTACTTTTATATACAAAATGCAACTTATGTCTTCATAAAAACTTTATGCAAATAGTACTAAATTTTATGAAAGATAGAACATAATTAAGATTCGAAATTATTAATTTGTTATGACTCAAGATATACATAGCATATACTTTTATCTACAAAGAAATCTAAATACATAAAATTATCTAAAGCACTTACCAAATTTTATAACGACACGTTATAAAATAGTTATTTATTTATATAGCCGGTCATTTCCTTTGATGAAATAAATTGAATAAATATATACAACGCCCAATTAAAACAATAAAATCCTATTTCAATTTTCAATGTCCAAAATAGATTTGACAGAAAAATAACCTACAAATAAAAAAAAACAAACAACTTCCCTGAAGCCAGTGTTGCCAGATCACTCTCCTCCAAATATCGTATACGTAGTTATTGTTTCATATTTCATTATTTAAATTTAAAATTGATACAGGGACGTTTATAAAAATAACAGGGATATTACTTTTCTTATAAAAAGATAAAATAAAAGTAATTAAAAAAACTTTTTTATACAACATCGCGAACTCCTACGAATATGTGCGAACCTTTGCGAACATAAGCAAGCCTCAATAACGAACGTGTACAACTTCAACGGACATCAAAGATTTTAAATGTTGTATTCGTATACAAAAACTTTCTAAAATCTTCATGAACTCAGGCGAGTTCTTTAGAATATGCGCGAGCCTCAACGAACGTATAGGCGATGTTCTAGGAACGGCGCAATGCATATAATATATCCCAGTTCAAAACTGTAACATCTCAAAAATTTTAGGGTTTGAGATAAGAATATATTCTTGCGAGAAGAGCAAGGTCTATTAAAATAATTCAACACTATATCTCAAAATATTTATTTTTCTATTTATTTTAATAATAAATTACAAATTAGTAAAGAAAGATCTTTAAAGTAATTTATCTCAAAATGGCCGATTTGGAGATGTTACGATACACTTTTGATATATTTTACATTATTCTATGTGGGCATATTCGAGCTTCCACCGAACACAGCCGTAAAACAATTCTGAAAGTATATAGGTATGGTATTTTGTACACCTCATCAAGCTCCGGGGTCGAAGCGGGAATCCCCGTCCTGGTCAAACTTTTTAACTTAATAGATGTGAAGTAAAATAGTTTTTTTGACAATAGTTGAAGGAATTAAATTGTTGAAAAATAAGGTAACCATATCTCTTTTAACACAATGCTGGACGCTGAATAAAATAAAATACAACATTGATGAAGTTTGGAAAGGCGAGGACTTTTTTTAAGCTCCCCGAACCAGAAGAGAGGACTTTTTTTTTAGCTCCACATTATTTTTTGTTTTATTTTTATGTTTCAGTAAATTAAGTATTATATACGCAGGACGCTAAACAACAAATAAAGCATTTTTCTGGACAAATACGCCGTTTTGCTGTTTATGATCCAATACTTGACAAACTTAAAAAATTGCTGCTATACAATAGTCACCCTATTGAAGAAATACGGGTGGCACTCGGGGACTGCCGCGGTAAAGCTGTTGCATAGCATGTTTTATCAACTTATGCAATTATAATTATTTATTTATTTTATTTATGCAGTATTTTTTCTTTGATATTAATTCAAGTTTTTTCTTTGATATTAATTCAAGTTTTTTCTTTGATATTAATTCAAGTTACACTTTTTGAGCGTGGTGACCGATAAGAAAACAATTTTTTTCTTTTATTGAATAAATGAGAAGTTAATATTATTTAAAATATTTTTATTATCTTACAATACATGTAGGTTATTCAGGAATTTTTATCATTGAAACTATAGGTTTATGGTAACTGAAATAAGAAACATAAGTTGGAGACTTGATATCCTCTAAATATCTGGAAAATACCGCGTCAATGTTGGTCCCATATTTTGTTGTGGATTCTTGTGGATCACTATATTCAAATGCAAATTCAATTTTTCCGAAATTGTGTCTAAAAGAGATAGAATCAGTTATGAGCAGTTAGCAGCTAGTCTACACGCATACGTCTAGTCGCACGCACACAAACACCGTGCCAAAGTCTGCCGAACTGAAACGACGTCAGACGATGCACGGATTTCAACGCCGCACTGCTGTGCCGGTCGAAGTGGGGGTGTTCGGTTTTTTTTTGGTTACGGAATTTCTTGAGCTTGAGCTATGCAATAGCTTAAAAATTAATATTTTTTCCTACGATCACTTAGGAAAGTGACACATATCACACTATATAGTCCTATGGAAAGTGCCCTATATCACACGCGTATGAATAAGAATTTACTTTCCACCCGTGTACGAATATGCTACTTTCCGCAGTAGCTGTCACAAATTGTCAAATTTCTATGTTGATCTTTGTAATGTCCATATTAATACTAAAATCGATATGATTGTTAAATTATTGAAATTGTTGTAAATTAGATCCTAGATATTTATCTTTAACAATTATTATTAAAATAATTTTAAGATAACTAAGATATGTTTGCTCTTTATTCTGGTTAAACACATATAACCGATTAGATTATTAAATTGACGCATGGCCTATTAGCTTAGATGAGATGAGAGCGTCAAACTTATCAACTGAGACCTGGCGAGCGACCGCGTTCAAATCTCGGCGGGGCCAGAATTTTTTTAATTTTTTTTTTTTGTTTGGAAATGTACTACACTATATAAATCTTGCAAAACATTTGTGATACCAATTTATTAGAAGCCAGAGAAAGCTCTTCTAGTTCTTGTATTGCATAATTGTTCCAGTACCCAGACGTATATTTAACTCCGCTTCATACTAATACGAATAGGGTCGGATAAAACCTTCCATGGCTATAACGCCGTACCGCTGTGCCGGTCGGAGTGGGCGGGGTGTTAGGTTTTTTTCGTTACGGTGTTACGAAATTTCTTGATTCAGTCGCCACTCAAAGCCCGCGATAAAAGCTATGCAATAGCTGAAAAAATTACCTAACCTGTGCGGCCTGGAGTCATCGCTGGTTGCTTCTGCGAGGCCCGAAGCCATTTAAATTTAACCGATCGATCACGCACAAGTCAGGTACATGGGATAAGGTTTTTTTAATTTTCTCATTTTATGTAAAAAAAATTACCCAGCAACCCGAGATGGCTCCGGGCTGCACAGGTTAGGTAAATTAGTTAAACTTTTTTTAAATAATTTTATGTATAAAATTTTTACAGAACACCCCGAATAGGTTAGGTAATTTGGTTAAGTTTTTTTTATTTATTTTATCTAAAAAAAAATGCGGTGCAACACGTGATGGTTCAGGCGCTGTTTCGTTCGGATACTTTTTTGACTAGCGCTATTTCGTTCAGGCACTGTTTCGATACGAGCTATTTTGAGTAGGTGCTATTTCGTTTGGGCGCTATTTCGATATACTTTATTTTATTATATAGAACACCAAAAGTAGCGTAAAAAGATAATTATCGTACATATGGCAACATTACTTAAACTCCCTTCCCAGAATATAAACCTTAATACAACAATGGGCAGAGACCAATAAAAAATGGCCTATTTTTATTAAATTTAACAGCCAGGTAAACGTTAAACAACATACAAGTTCGGGGTAGGAAAAAATAAAAATATAGACACTGGAGCACATACTTTGATTTTCTTTTACTATACGGAGAATGGTCGCACTGCGCAGCTTTCTGAGTGCCTTTTAAAAGGAGATAGAAAACTCCGCCATTTTGAACCTTTATTACGTGTTGCCTACATCTTGGCGCAATATTTTTAATAGGTGCGTTTTAATCATCGCTTCGGAATTGTCGGTTTTCTTGTTTTAATCTGACAAGTTAGAACGACTGAACCGACAATTCCGGAAGCAGAAGCGGATGGTTAAAACGCACCTGGGGCCTAATTCTCGAAACATGCGTTAACTGCCGCATGCGCTAAGTAACGCATGGTCGTTAACGCATACGACAGCAATTTAGTATTCCTGAACACCATGCGATAATCGCGAATCAAGTCGAACGTGTTAACGAAGAGTCTTTGATTATTGCATAGTCTTAACCAATGAGGATTGAGAATACCAAAGATGGTATCACTGAATATGAGATAATTGCATTGACATATGTCAAAATTGCCAAAAATGCAAAAATTATAAAATTAAATGGATTGCAGATGTCTAATAATTTTTGGTTTTTGGATGTTTTAACTGTGATTATTTGTATTTTGGACTTGAGAATTGGAGTGGTTTAGATTTAGAATATTAAAAATGGAACAGCGTGGTTCACGAATAACGGAAAAACAGCGTGAAACTTTAGTAGAATTTATAACATTGTTTAGTGCCTGTAAAACTCCTATGATAAAGCAGGATTAATTGACAATTATAACAGAGACAACCACATACAAAAGAAAATCAAAGTATGTGGCTGTGGCACGTGGAGACAACCCTCTGATTATAACCTTACTTTCACCTTAACGAATGCGACAAAGTGGTTGTCGAACGGTCATGAGCGCTCTTTGAAAATCACCATTTTTTAGCGCATGCGTTAATAAATTTGACGAATGCCGCCAGTTCAGGAATACACTTTCATCAAGTCGCATACGTTATCGCATGCGATAAGTTTACGAAGGCGTCAGGAATTGGGCCCCTGATATTTTGCTTGCTGCTGTCAGTGTCAGTGAATATTATTTTTGGAGTCACAGTTTATTGCTAAAGAATCAGTTAGCTCACTCGGACCAGTTGAAAGTTCCAAAATAACATCCACTCCAGGGATACAAATTCAGGATACGCAGAAGACTGCTGTTTTATTATACGCGGTTGTCATATATTGTATTATCTGAGTTGCGCAGTGTATAAACTGGAACATTGAGATAAAAAGTGCCGACGCAGTGAGCGATCTGATTCTTTAGCTATAAACTGTGTCATAGGGTTCAAAATGACCGCGCCCTATGTTGGGCGTGTCGGACCTCTCTCTTGCCCCGTATAGTAATCAAAGTATGTGCACTGGAGTCTCCGGCTACAATGCGACATCTACCGATTTTTCGGTAGATCTAACGATTTGGCAGTCCATTTACGGCAGACCTTATTTTCTACCGATTTTCATTCGTTTAGTTTCATAATTTGTAATATTTTTTAAAATATTTCTTTATATTTTAAAAATTCCATCTTTGCACATAAGTAAGAAAAAATATTTGTGCAAATAACTTTAGTTTTCAATTTTTGGTCAATTTTATTTTCTTGAGAAGAAAAATGAAAAACAATAGATTAGAAACAATCACAATTTCTGGTATTCTCCATACAAAACAGTAGGTATTTAGGATCCAACACGTATTATAACTTCGAAATAAATTTGCCATGATTTTGTTAAAAATTAATGAATAAAATTTAAATTCTTCGCAGCCACAGTGAATGCATATTTTTAAATATTAAATACTGTTTTATTAGTATGTAATATCTTTTTAAACTTAGTTTTTTTTTAATTCATAGTTTTATTATCTTTATTTACCTTATTATGACGATTTAATTAAAAAAATAAGCCAGTTGGATAAATTTTAGCAAAGCAATAAAACGGGACAAAGTATAAAATGCTATTACCAGCTGCCACATTTGACAGCCTCCCAGAAAAATTGTTTTTGTTGTTCAGTTTTATTCTTTTTCTTAATAGTTCAACAATTATTTCAAAAAAAAAAAAAAAAAAAAAAAAAAATTAGCACGTTTTTACTATAAAACATCTTAACTTTAATTTACGAAATGTTGACCAAGATCTACCAAAAACAAAAAATTGGTAGTGTTGTTGAATAGAGAGACATTACATAAGAATCGCAGTCTGTCAGACAAAGATAGGCGCGTCTCGGCATATGCTGTATTGAAAGATGAGAATTCCACTGTTGAAAGAACCTTCCCCAAATACATGTCATCTCATATATAAAACTTTTGAGAAAGTATACTAACCAATACTAACAGTATAATTGGATCAAAGGTGTGGTGGGAAATATTGCATTATAAAAATTGCGAAACAAACACACATTTTTAGGTAGATGATTGTTTATGTGTGTACAACAAAACCAGGTACATGTTTCAATTATTTATTTAAAAAATCCCTTAATACGAAACTTACTTTAAACACTCATTAAAATACCACAGTAGTCCTTATCTAAACACATTTAAACACACATTTTAAGTTGTAGATCCAGGAGTCAAATTTTGTCCACCAACATTCCCAATAGCTGGAACATTTGCAGACGCTGTTATGCTCCTCTGTGCCGTCCTCCCTTGCAAATGCTTTATTTTAATTCTCTCCAATTCGTTAACTCTGGATCTAGCGTGCTCTAATCTATGCCAAGCCATTTGCAACACTTTCTGGGAAGCATAGCCAGATCCTTCATGAGGTTGACCAGTGGATACTTGAGTCAAATAATTTATTTGGTCCGTAAGTTTATTTTCGACGGCACTCAGTGTTTTGAGGAAGGTTTGTGTGTGATTTTCGGCTTGTTTTAGACTCGACTTTTCTTTGCTTAGCTCCATAAAGACCTGGCCTATAAAACAATGAGGTTAAGATGATAGATATATTAACAGATAATCGGTTTACTGTACCAGCACTATGAAGACAAGTTATAATATCCTTTTCTATAGAGTCTAATACTTGAATTCGTTCCATTGGTGCAGTCATTTTAGAAATAATTTTTAAAATAGCAATATTTTGATATTTTTGACCATAGAGGAAGGATAATTTTTGTTTTTGTTGTCTTCTTCTTTTCAATTTTTATAGGTCTCAGCTGCGAGGGCTATTCGGCTATTGTTAACACATTTGACGTTGACAGTCAATAAGGCCCGTATCCCAGAGGCGAGTTCGGTCAGTCAGGGGCTGGAGCGGGACAAATTTTAGGGTGCTTTTAAATGACATTTAAGCGTGTTAAACTGTCACTAATCGGACTAAACCGAACGCTAAAAGAGTCGTTTGGAGTTAAATGTGTTAAAGGAGTTAAAGGAACGTGGCAAACCAAACGCAATGCAGGAAGTTCTTTAAATGCTGCGTTTGAGAATCCACATCGGATGCATCTGAGATGTAAAAAATCTTTGATCACGTGATTCAGTATACGTAAATGTAATGGGACAGATGTGTCCGATGTGAATAAAAAAACGCTCGAGATGTAAAAAATGCATCCGATGTGGATTCTCAAACGCAGCAATACACTGGGGTTGTGGGCTAAGAACCAATGCTATATGATTATATGGATTGCACATCCATAATGTGTAAATCAGCACACACGTAACAAATAGGGAGACATTTTACAAAATTAAACGGAGATTAAAATGACATTGTTAGGCCAGATTCCACCGTTATATTGAACGGAGATAAAAATGACACTGTTAATGTAAAAATGTAATTTTAAACTTCTTTTAACACAACGGTAGAATCGGTCCTTAATGTAAAAATGTCATTTTAAACTTCGTTTAACACAACGGTGGAATCACTGAACTATATATTAAACTGGAAGACCAAAGCCGATCAACAAAATCAAGCCGCATAGCGAGGTGATATTTGACACTTCGGCGCCAACATGTGCGTATCGAAATGTACTAAAAAGGATCATCAAAATTAAATTTAACACATATTACATTCAACTAGACAAATTTTAATTTAAGAAAATCACTTAAAAATGATTTTTGATTAATACGCAGCTGAAACAAATGTTCCTATATTAATTATTATTAAAATAGGGCGTTATTAATAAAAAATAATATAATTTATCATAGTACGCCCGTGAAAAGTGTGACGTAGAATGCTTAAAATTGACAGTCTGGCGCAAAAATTGTCATGCGCACCGACCGTTTTTTTCACCCATGTCGGCTGAGAAAATAGGAGTAGGGTTTATGTCATATAGGACCGATTCCACCGTTGTGTTAAACGAAGTTTAAAATGACATTTTTACATTAACAATGTCATTTTAATCTTCGTTTAACACAACGGTGGAATCGGCTCATAGCCATCCAGTTTAATATCAAGGTCGGTGGGTGGAATCGGTCCTAAATAAAATGCAATTATCAATTAAGGGTCGATTCCACCGTTGTGTTAAACGGAGATTAAAATGACATTGTTAGGCCAGATTCTACCGTTATATTAAACGGAGATTAAAATGACATTCTTAATGTAAAAATGTCATTTTAAACTTCGTTTAACACAACGGTGGAATCGGTTCTTAATGTAAAAATGTCATTTTAAACTTCGTTTAACAGAACGGTGGAATCGGTCCTAAATTAAATTATCAATTAAGGGTATGATTCCACCGTTGTGTTAAATGGAGATTAAAATGACATTGTTAATGTAAAAATGTCATTTTAAACAACGGTGGAATCGGTCCTTACATAATAAAATAAATATTGATCATTATTTGCAGTCCACCGGATATTTTTGGTATCAAACCGACGCCGACGTAGTTTTTTTTTTTTTTGGTGTGTCATCGGCTTCAACTACCAGGGTTATTTCGCCTCGTGTTATGTGTAGGCTTTGTTACTGTTTCCCAGCGCCACTTTAGGAACAGCACTGTTAATTAGAACCCAACAGTGAATGGTCGAGTGGGGAATCCTACCAAGGCATCAGAATTAATTTTAAATAATTAAATTAAATGAAAAAATTCCGGCCAATATTGGGATTCGAATCCGGGACCTTTGGATCCACAGGCGTTTCCCACGGGCGTACTACAACCAATTATATATTATTTTTTTGTTAATAACGCGCTATTTTAATAATAATTATTATTATTGGAACATTTTTTTCAGCTGTGTATTAATAAAAAATCATTTTCTTAAATTAAAAGGTGTCACAGTTGAATGTAAGTGTTAAATTTAATTTTGATGATCCTTTTTAGTGCATTTCGATACGCACATGTGGGCGCCAAAGTGTCAAATATCACCTCGCTATGCGGTTTGATTTTGTTGATCGGCTTCGTTCTTCCAGTTTAATATATAGTTCAGTGGGATCAATTTGCTTTTCGTCTTTAGGCATTTCTTTATAAGCTTACTACAACATACTTGGTTACAGTAGTGTGGTTACTGTGGTGACATTACGCATACCATCATTGCGTTCGGTTTGCCACGTTCCTTTAACACTTTTAACTCCAAACGACTCTTTTAGCGTTCGGTCCCAGTATATATACCAATACAGTAGCGACAGATCATTTTTTATGAGGGGTCCATATTTTTCTGCGCATGTCCGAAAATAAGCGACAAAAACGTCAATAGTGTCAATGCGATGTAAATGTAAATAATGTAAATATGTCATTATTTCATTTGTTTGCAGTGCATATTTTGAGACATTTTTATTATTTTAGTTTTTCATTTATTGTGTGATATTTTTGAAATGGCTTCTGCACCTGATCAGAAAAGAAAGAGATGTGTCTATCGCCCTTGTCCATCTCAAACAGAGTAAACAGACAAAGGGACAAGTTATTTTGCATTTCCCATGGAGCCAGAAAGGTATGTCTTGAGAAAATACTTTCAATTTTTATATTTGAAAACCAAATATTTATTTGACAACCAAATATTTATTATTTAAATGTCTGGAGGACAATTTTTACAATTTCAACAAAAATAATGTAAAAAATATATAATTTCTGAACTACCGTCAATCTAAACATTTGTTATCAACTTTTTTATATTTTAGGGCCAACATGTGGTTAAGAGCTTGTAATAGGGAAGATTTGAGTAACATAGATGTGAACAGTCTTCATCGGAATTACAGGTTGTGTGAGAAACATTTTGAGAAGAATTGTTTTTCTAAAACGTTGAACCGTAAACGTTTATTGCCTACTGCTGTTCCCACATTTTTTATCCATCTAGGTCATCAGCCAAATGTCTATCTTCTCCCTAATACATCGACCAAGTGCTTCCTCTGTTGAGACTATCATTGAACATGAATGAGACATTTTTGAAAGCGTACCATGTGCAACCTTTGGACATTCTTAATCAAAAATCCTACCTCCAAATTATTATAATGAATTAGATGTTCTTTGATTCACTATGTCCATTGATCAAAAATGTTCTGATTGACTACATCTAATCAAAATATATATGTATTTCTTGTAAAGTAGCAAAAAGAAAACAAAAAAATGTATTTTGTGGTGTTATTATTTTAACTGTTTTTTAATTTTTGATTTGTTTCATTTATACAATATTTAAGCACTTAACCAATAATATATATAAACTTATAAATAGTTGTATGATATATATATATACGTTAGGGAAATTAGGACAAGGATGATTAAATTCTATTTCTTTCATAATATCAAAAAAAGCTATGCGATTTACCAGACATTACACAGGTATTGCTAAAAATAGATATAACATTTTTTTATAATTTAAATATATAGATAATAAACTTTTCATTTGGAGTTTTTAGGCCTCCATAAGTGCTTTATTTGCAATCATATGTTAAAATCTGTGAACTATCCAAATCTTCACATTCTTTTGAAAATTTAATAAATGTATTACATCCATGTATGCCTAAAGCTTTTTTGATCAAATAGCCACAAACATATTTAAATGGATTTTGAACTATTATATCTTCTGTCCTGTAGCTGTAATTAGGAAGAAACACAGCTTCTCGAGTGTTTTTATTTATTTCAGGATACAGAGAGACAATATTTTTTACATCTAATTGTAGCAAGTGTTTGTCCAGGTCTTCATTACAATTCATGGAATTGCAATGAAGATAATTTTGACAAAAAAGTTTTTTAAATGCCCTTTCGAATTGTACAGGTGTTGGATTAATTAAATTCCCACCCTGTTGCCTAATGGACCCAACAAATTTTTCTAGACAGTCACTGTTGATTCTTCTAGCCATTAAATATTTAAATCCCGCAGCAGATAACCTTTCCCATACAAATTTTAAACCATAAAATCGTTAAATATAAACATCTAATTTTTATGATGTGACGTTAATAGTATTTAATTATATACATAGGTAATATAAGCAATTGGGCAGCATTGTGCTTAACGGGTGACTTACAACAGGCATTTGCTAAAACTCATCTGAAGTCAAAAATTTGTACGTAGGAACAAAAATTGAAATAAAATAATTCTTGTATTGTAAATTCATTAAAAACTTACTAATTTGTAATTGTGTGTTTTAATAAATATTATTGTTATATGTTGTTTCACTTCTAAAAAGATACCTACATAACCTCATTTTAAATAAAAAAATAAGGTGCAGAGTTAATTTATTAGTTCCAGGAAGAAACCACAAAATGTTTAACACATTTCATACAATGAATGGCATACAAAAGTAATTTATTTTAATCTAATGATAAAATTTTAAAATTGGCACATCTAGATTTTCACCGGAACTCATTTATTTAAGTTACACAATATTTTGATTAATTTATTTGCCTAGAATACATTAAAATATTATATGTACATGTTTTAATTTTTTTCTAAGTGTACATCGCTAATTTGCAATTTTAGAGTTTACTTTTCTCCGTGTAGAAATAAGCGACAAAAACGTCAACTGTCATTGAAAATCTGACCACCCCGACATCAAAGAAGCCGACGCAATCTGTCGCTACTGTATTGTTCTTTATACTGGGGTTCGGTTTAGTCCGATTAGTGACAGTTTAACACGCTTAAATGTCATTTAAAAGCACCCTAAAATTTGTCCCGCTCCAGCCCCTGACTGACCGAACTCGCCTCATGGTTTCCCTATTATTGAATGTCATATGTCAAATTTAATTTAAGTTTGGGGATTTCTAAACGGAATTTGAATTTTAGAAAGTTTTGACTTTGTTATTTTTTATTATAGTATGTTCTAGTAAGCTTATAAATAAATGCCTCGTTAGATATAGCTACATATGCTTTGGTAACATGTAACCAAAGCCGAGTAACCAAACGTTATAAAGAAATGCTCTGGTTACAGAAGTATGTTCTGGTAAGCTTATAAAGAAATGCCTTTTATTATGAAGACTAGAGGTAAAGAGACGAATCGGCATACTCAAAATACGGTCCCAAATTTGAAATTTGACCATTGCCGATTCGCCTATTTCTCTCTAGTCTTGTCTTTACATATGATGAGCAATCTATATAACTATATAGCATTGATAACGACTCGATTTAAAGGAAGATAAGATGCGAGTATTATCAATGTTGCCAAATTGTGCGAAAAATCAAAGGTCCGATTGATTATTAATTTGTATTTTTTGTAAAATAAAACATGTTTTAGATAAAGATTTTTTTATTAGGTGCACTTTTATCCCTATACCTAAACGCATAAAACTGACAAAAATAAATGCATAAGTAAAAAATACCCTATAAACTATATACATTTAAAATAAATAATACGGAAAAAATATCACAGTACCATTCAACAAAAAATATGCAGTATGGAAATCACTTATGGAATATAATTATTTTTGACCTTCTTTTAGAAAATTATAAAAAAAAACGCTAGGACACGTTTACTTTTGAACCTAATTGTACGTTCTCCGAAAAAGAATATAAATATACTGGATGATTCACGTAAGTCTAGCACAGTCGGTATTTTTTTTCAATGGAACACCCTGTATCATTTTATATTTTTGAAAGCTCCTTAATTAGCTGACTTCAACGAACTAATTGACAAATACAGGGTGAAATTAATTTTGAAATTATTAGAAATATTATTAGGCTTCAAATATTGTTAATTATTTTAATTAGTCAAACACAGATTTCTCTAGAGCAGGGATTCCTAAAGTGGAGTTTTTGCAAGAAAAATATCCGAAATTAGAAAAAAAACCTGAACATTTGTAAAACAAATATCTATTACTTGACTGATATCTTTGGTATATTTTACAAAGTTAATTTGCAGGGTGACGATCTTAACTTGATTAAAACAAAATCAATAATATCGTCTTTTGTGGGTAAACTTATCCTTTATAAACAAAATTTAGGCAGAAAAAACTATTCAGTTTCCGCATTTGTCAAAATTACCAGAAATGCTTCAAGAAGATGTTATTTTATCATATGTCACTCACTTGGATGCGTTACACAACAATTTTACTAAGAGGTTTGAGGATCACTTAAATTTACAAATTCCTCAATGGATAATAAATCCGTACTATAAGCCATGGAAGAAGCCAATGTGATAATGGGTGCTATGACTGAACGTTTACGTTATCCGTAACGTACATGTTAGGCCGGATTTTAAAATTAACGAGGCAAGTTCGGATGATGGAAAACTGTTAAATTAGAAGATAACAGTAACGTGTTGGAAAAAGTTTTCCATCATACGAACTTGCCTCATTACTGTTAAAACTCGGCCTAACATGTACGTTACGGATAACGTAAACGTTCAATCATAGCACCCAATGAAAGAAGAGTTAATCACCATCAGCACAGACGAGGAGCTTAAGCAGGAGTTCAACCAAGGATATCAGAAGTTCTGGTTGCAGTGCAACATTGAAACACAGTATCCTGTATTGTGGAACATTGCTGAAAATACCTTATCGCTTTTCCATCATCATACCTAGTCGAAAAATGCTTCAGTTTGGTTATAAACATTTTGACAAAACAAAGAAACCATTTGAAAATCAACTAACGCGAAGATTTAAGGTTGAAACTCACCAATATTGAACCAAACTTAGCTAGATTGGTAGAAAGTCTCCATATTCATCTATCACACTGAATTTTTTATTTTTTTTATCTTTACTTTGCGATTTTAATGTTTTTTTTTTAAATAATTACCTTTTTAAATATTTTTACGTAATTTGTATTAATAATTATTAATTACACCTGAATGGTGTTTTAATAAACTGCGACCTAAAAGATCTATTGTGTAATTACACTTAATATTTACTGAATTGTATGTCTATTTATTTTGTTAAATTTTGATAAAGAAAATGATGTCAAGTTTACTCAACGAACCGCAAAGTTTTTAAATTGGTATTTTCTATTAATAGGAAAAAACAAGAGGTAGAATTTTTAAAGTAATTTGGCTATGGGGGTCTGAGATATCAGTTCAATTTGGAAAAGGGGTCTCTTGCCCAAAATAGTTTGGGAATCTCTGATCTAGAGTATCAACGGATTTGGACGAATTTCAAAAATAAATAAAACATGGTACATTCATAGATCAAGGTTATAGAAACATTTTTTTGTCCAGAAGAAGAAAATTCTCTTTACACAATGATAAATAATTTTCAAATTTCACTCTGTATTATTCATATAGACCATAAATGTTTTAATTCGTTGAAGTCAGTTTATTAAGGAGCTTTAAAAAATATAAAAAGAGGGGGGTTCCAATAAAAAAAAAATAGTACTGACAGCACTACTTATGTTAATCACCATGAATATTTACATCTTCATTCGGAGAACGTACAATTAAATTCAAAAGTTGACGTGTCCCAATGGTTTTTATAATGTTCTGTAAGGCCCAAAATTATATTCCATAAGTGGTTTCCACCTATATATGTATATCCCAGGCAAAACAAAACCTTAACACTCTTCATTACTCTTCGCCTTCAACCTCTGCTGAGCCATACTGTGTTGCTTCATGTACCTCGCGTACATCTGTCTGGCCTGATTCAACACCCTAGTCACGTTGTGCTTGCGCACCATTTTGTCGAAATGCATGGCCATCTCATTGTAGTCCATCGCTTTGGAAATGATATGTTCGCGATGCTGCATGAGCAATGTAATGCACAGGAACATTAAAAACGGATTGCCGCCCCCGAATTCGCCAGGCGGCGGCAGCAAAGAACACCCTTTAACGCTCTCAGTCACTTCTTCGCACGAATTGGTCATCGTCGGGACCGAACCGTTCGAAGTGGCCTCCACAGAGGCCGGATTTAAGTCCACGTGGTTCGTAGGAAGCTCATCGGCAGCGGGTTTTGAATCTATAGCGAGATTGGTAGGCTCCGGTGAATCGTAATCGATTTCTGCTTGCTCGTCTGGAGTGTGAGGTGCTATTTTCGCAGCGCTAGGACATTTCTGAAGTAAAGGATTTTCCCACACATAAACATCGTCGCTTTTTCTTTTATCCTTTTCTATATCTTTCACTTCTAATTCTTTGGTCACGGTGCTGTCGCTAGGGGAGTCTGATAACCCGTCCACGAATTTATCACCAAAAACTTTGCGGTCCAAGTTTTCTAATTCGAGGTGGAGTTTGCTGGTGACGGAAGTGGTGAGCGGGAAGTAGTCTTGGGAATCGTCAGGGCTGGTGTCATCGCCGCTGTTTGAGGTCGAGGAAAAATGGCGGGATAAACTCGAATTCTCGGAGTCATCGAGACTGGATTTGGTTAATGTTATTTTTGGTTTACCACACTCATCACTTTTGGCGATTCCGCCCAGAGTTAGGAATTCGTTCAGGTTCTTTACGAGACGCGCCTGAAACAGAAATAATTACATTAGAAATCAGGGTACGCTTTCGTTACAAAAGTGATTTATTTAGGGCCCGTTTTTTCACCTATGAGTAAACTGAAAAGTAACTCAATTCAATTTATTATATAGTCCGTATATTTAGATTGTGCTGATTATGCTAACTAGAACTATACTTGGAACTTTTATGTATTTTTGTTCGTCAAGTAATTAATTAAAACTTATTTAAAATAAATTTGAGGTTATTTTTAAACAGAAAAAAGGCATTTCGTAAAGAAAAGATATGAAGTAAGAGAATAACCTGATGTTAGTTATATTTTAACCAAATTTGCTCGTTTTTCTGCCAAAAAGTAGCAAAACTTTTAAGGTTGTTTATAAAAAACATTGAACAAATTATCAAGTTAATCAAGTCAATACATTACAAGTTATCAAGTTATAATTTTTTTAAGCTTTTCTTCTAAAACAACTGCTTTCTTGGAAATATTTATCGAATAGAAAAAATATAATTATTTAGAAAAAAAAAGTAAACTATGTTGTTTTTCAAATAAGAAAATTAATGAAAATTAATAAAAATTAATGAAAATTACGATGATTGATACAGTCCAACCTTTTATTTTTCAATCTTCTATAGCCTATAGTAGGTTAGGAGATTTTAACGTAACAATGTTGAAAAGCTCTCTGTTATTTTACATCGATTTTATGATGTTCCAGATAATCATATTAATTATATTGTAAAAAGAACAGAAAATGCTGTAAATTTAATAAAAACTGTTTCCAAATATAATTGGGGTGCAGACCCCAACATAGCAATTCTTTTTTATAGGGTGCTGATTAGATCAATTTTTGACTATGGTGCAATATTATACAATGATGCATCAAATACTCATTTGCAAAAATTGGACAGAATAAAATACAAATGTCTTAGATTAAGTATAGGTTTTCTCCCAAGTACTCCAATTAATGTAATAGAATCAGAAACTACAGAACCTCCTCTCAATTTTAGAAGAAAATTTTTATCCGAAAAGTTTTTAATAAATCAAAGGGCGAAAAATTCGGTTCTTCTCCCTCTTTTATCCAATTTATCTTCTCTGTGTTTAACTGGAAAGTATTGGTCAAAGAAAAAACTTCCTTTACTAGTAGAGACTTTTTTATCTACCATTGAAATGATTCCAGACCTCCATCAACAAAATGCAATTCCACTATGGTCCTTACATTTTTCAGCTTTAACAACGCCATTGAAAACATATATAAACAAAAATCTACTGAATGAAAACCCTCTAGTGATTAAAAACGCATTTAAAGAAGATTTAATAACAAAATGGAATACATTTGAAAACATATATACGGACGGATCTAAAATTGGGAACCAATTAGGATGTGCAATTTTGTATCCTAACAAAAATTATGAAATTTCATTTAAACTTCCCAGTACAATGTCAATATACAATGCTGAACTTGTTGCTATAAAAGAAGCTTTTAACGTATGTCTTCAGGAAAATAAATCTAAATATGTTATATTTACTGATAGTAAGAGTGCAGTAGAATATTTTGCAAAATGGAACGTTACCAGTCCTACCAACTATATAGCCTCAGAAATTCTTAAGATTAACTATCAATGTTTGGAACAAAATAAAGAAATTTCGTTGGCGTGGATAAAATCTCATGTAGGTATTAGTAACAATGAGAAAGTGGATATACTAGCAAAAAAGGCTATTGTTTCGGGAACTAATAAAAATATTAAAACTCCAAAATCAGATTTTATTGCTAAATCTAAATTATCAATGTTTAAAACTTGGCAAGATGCATATTCTAAAGAAGAAAAAGGGAAGAAATACAAAAACATTCAACCTAATATTCCAAAGTGTCCCTGGTTCAAAAACGAAATAAATAGGTCTTTTATCCGAGTTATTTGTCGTATGAGAAGTAATCATGCTATGCATCCTGCCTACAAGGAAAAATTTGGTCTATCAGATAATAATTTATGTTTAATTTGTGATGAAATTGCTGATCTCAATCATATAATTTTAGAGTGTGTCCTAAATTCGTTAGATACTGACACAATGTACTTAGAATTAGTTAATATTGGTATACCTCTACCAATAAACATTGATGTTCTGCTTTCATTAAACGATGTTAAAGTTTATAAAATATTGTATGAATTTGTTAAAAAAACTAATACAAGATTGTAAGTAGCTGAGCTACCCTAAAAATATTGTAAACCTGAAACGAAAAAATAAAATAAATGATAAAATAAAAAAATGAAACCAAGGAAAAAATGAAAAAAAAAAAAAACAAAAAATAATACAAAAAAAAAAACAAAAAATAATACAAAAAAAAAATAATACAAAAAAAAAAAATAATACAAAAAAAAATAATCAAAAAAACAAATAATAAAAAAATAGACATTTTTTATAATTAATTACAAACTCAGGTATTTTGATAGCTGTAAGTCAAAATATAATAATAATGTAATCATGTAACAATAGTGGATAAAACAATTAAAGATTTATGGATTACTACAATAGTCTGGCCTTTTGGTTATATCCAGTGCCATTAAAAAAAAAAAAAAAAAAAAAAAAAAAGATAATCATAATTAAATAAGAAATATCGTGATTCTTGAAAATGCTATTTTTTTATATAAGTAACACAAACCTGATGATGCGGACGATTTTCATCTTCCTCTTTTATGGAATGCGACCCGTCCAATCGATCCAACGACGAAAACAACTTCTCCTTCAAATCCTTAAAATGTCCCGATTTTTTTGAGTTTCTGATCAGATTCGTCATGCTCGACGAGAGACTGGCGCTCTTCCTGTTCAACATCTGATGCGAATTGATGCGATTATTCAAAACTACGGAGTCAGATTTCTGTTCTAGCGGCGATATCGAGCGAGGCCTTAATTCAGATCGTAAAGAATTCGAGTGATCTGAATTTTTCGGTGAGGACTTCGAGGTTTTGGGTGAGAAATCCATGTTTTTCGGCGAAATTTCCCCGTTTTGGGGCGATATGGTTCCGTTTTTGGAGAAGAATTCCCCGTTTTTAGGCGATTTCGGACTCGTATCTCCTACTTTCTGCAACACGGCGTCGTCCAGGCTTTGATATTTCGTCTTCACGACAGGCAGAGCTTTATTCCTACTAACGCTTTCGTCTAGACTGTGATTCTGTCGCTTCACTTGACTATTCTTCTTCGTTATGTTGCAATTATTCAACGACATCGAGGAGCTTTGCCTCCTGAGAGCGACAATTTTCGTGTAAGCGTTCTCTCTGGGCGTTTTGACCAAGGGGCTTATCGGCGGAGTTGATATGGTGGGGGCTTGGAATAGTGTGTCGAAAAGTTTCAGTTCTTTGTCCGGATATTCGGCCGGTAATGAGCTCCAGAGGACTTCGAGCATGCGTAAGGAGTCTTCAAATGCGAATTCGCGTTTCATTTCAAGTAGGAGCCAACGGTAGCAGAATAGTAGGTCGTCTGCCTGTAAAAACAGGTTAATAGTGTAAGCAATTATATTGACAAGCGGTGATTGGAAGGAAAGTAAACTCATACAAAAATAGAAATGGAATTTCAAAAAAAAAAAAATATAGTTTACCTGATGAACTTTCAGATAATTATAGAATTCGGGATCGTAATACAAGATTCCTTCGGCCAAATGAGTAAACTTCTGGGTCATTGCGATACCATCTATCATGAAATTGGTGCACAGCCTTTGCATCAGCGCGCAGAAACAGATGTACGCGTGCGCCTCGTCATTCATCGTCACTAAAAGCGGCGATGCCAGATCGCTCATGCCTTGACAGTAGCTCACCTTCGGATGGTTTAGAGCGTACCTAGAAATTTTTATATGAACAGTAGAAGTGCCGCTTAGTTATAAACTTTTTAAATTTATAGTGGCAGATCGTACTGTATAATGTCGAATCACCTTCAAATGCAAATTGTGAGAAAATGAGATTGAAAATTGTTCAATATTATTTTATAATTTTGTGCGTTTATTTAATAGCCTATAGTCTTTATTTTATTGCCTTGTAGTTAATTTTTTTCTCTTTGTACACAGGGTGAATCCTAAGTTGATACTTACTTTAACCGTGTATAGAAGTCATTAAAATAAACAACTTTTTCAAAATAACTTAAAAATTGAAAAGTTACATTAATTTATTGTAAAACGTAACCAATACTGTTCTGTCTAACTTAAATAATGTTTTCAAAGTTGTCATCATTCACTTAAACGTCCATCATGCCTTTTTACTTATTCTCCACGAGGTACCCACAAATCACCAGTATCCCTAGCCTGTTGAGCCAGATTAATGAGAGTTCTGGGAACACCGTTGCAGCTGCACTTTGAAGACACTCGCCATAAATCATAATTTACCATACTGAACAATTTAAATTCACTACTTCAGATAAACTTACTACTGAAATAACATGCGACTAAATTATAATAACCGGTACACAATGAAGCGGATTCATAAAAAAATCCGAAAAAAGGTAAAAACGGAAAACATAAAAAATTTCATACACAAGTCCAGGTTCGAATTTAGATTTTTAATTCTGAATATTTCTAATTTTTGAGTTGTTTGAAAAAGATGTTTATTTTAACGATTTATATACACAATTAAAATAAATATTAACTTAAGATTCACCCTGTATACAGGTAAATTATTATTTTTTTTTTAATTAAACGTCGGGATTTTTTGATTGTGACTATACAACAAATTTTGATTTGTGACATCAATAATAACTTTAAACTGGTGGTAAAGAAGCAAACTTATTTTCATTATTTATCATAAACAAAATTGTTATTATTAAACAAAAAAAAACTACAAGCGTAAAAAAATAGTCTAAAAAATTACAAAAAATCAATTTCAAAAACATTACAATAATAAATAAATTACATTAAATAATTTAATGAAAGTTATGATTAATTTTTAATAAAAACAACTTTTTTTTATTTACTTTTATTTTTATTGTATGCTCGTGTCAAAGTGTTTCAACTCGAAATATGACGTTATAATAGAAAACTTTTATAAAGCAAAATTGACTCAAGTCAAAGTATGACAATGTTGATATGTGAAGAATGGACAATTCGAGAAACTTTAAAAACGACATTAGTGATACTTTTACAAATGAAAAAAATATTGGTGCTTTTCGAGTTGTGTCACTTTTGAAAAGAGGATGCGATGTATATGATTTTACGAAATATGGCACTTACGTGGTGAGTATATTGAACAATGAAGCGATATTTTGATTATCGTCGCTACCGGCGTAAAAAGGATGATGCCTGTCGGTCCTCAAGACATCCTTCCTTACCATGCTCGTGGTGTAGGCCAATTCGCCCACAACTTGACCTTGAGCGATTGCAGTCTTCCAAGATTCTCTCAAAGTCACGTATTCGGCTGCTTTTTTTTTGATGTAGTCCATTCGTTCTTTGCCAGTCATGCCATCCGGGTAAACGTTCAGTAAATGCTTCCAAACGACTTTTCTAAAAGAAAAATAATAAATACACGTACTTGTACTCAAATGGTTGCATAGATATTTAGATCAAAGTTTTTCCTAGGGACTCTACAAACACTGGACAGGTTCTAGGTGACGCTAGACTAGAATCTAAACGACGTTAGATTAGATTGCAGTACATCGAGCTAAAATTTGGGACACCATGTACAAGGATTAACACAATATTCAAAGTATAGCTTTAAAATACTTGTTTGTAGATAATTCTACAGGCACTTCCAGCTTTCCTAACACAATTAAGCACTGATGATGTACTCAACTTTACCTACAAGCAAAACAAGTAATGCAAGGTCTTTTTCAAAATAAAAAATTATTAAAACATACCGAAGAAATAGAGAATTGTTTAAGAGAGGTTAGATTCTTCATCTCTTTTGGAAATTGAAAACGTTTTGACGAGAGACATTGATATGAATTAAGCCATTACTTTTTTCTTTTCGAGAAAAGAAAGCTAGAAAAAAGTTACGCCACTGGATGTTAGACTAGGATCTAGACTCTAGGGGAGCTAGACTAAAACCTATGGGATGTGCTACATTAAGATAGACGCTAGGGGAAGTAAAGTTGAAATAATTATATTACCTTAGACTAGGATCAATTCCGCCAAAATAAATGACAGATCTCAATTCTTTGGCGAACACTATCTGCCCGACGGGATCTAAGAATCTTCTAAATTCCGCATCCGATAGAGGTTGTCTTGGGGGCTGCAAAGTCGTATTTCCCTCTTCGCCGAAATTGAAAGCCCTCTGTACCAAATTTAGCGTTTTTCCCACCTGCAAAACGGTTTTTTAAAACATTTTTTCTTGTACGAAATGTGGAACATCCCAAATATAGCATAAAAGTTAAAAACTTGCCTGATTAAATATCCCGTGCAGCCTAGGAGCGGGCTTAGCCTCTTGACTAGTGGCAGTACGGATTTGCGTAATAATAGGCAAATTCTGCTTGATATCCCAATCGTCTGAACTTTCCTCGAATGGTTTCAAATCTACTCTTAACGATAAACATGGTTCAGTATTGGTTGCAACAGAGACGTTATGAGCTCTAAAATTTTTAGAACGATTTAATAAAAACATCTCTTCAATATCTACACTCGAAAGAAATCTCTTATAATAAAGTTAGTAGATTTTACTCTGTGAATCAGTTTTGGAATTTTGGAGTAAAGAATTTTTGATAGTGTATCATTGTTGATTACCAAACTAATTTGGTATCTGCTGTAGCAGCTTTAAGACATTATCGAAATAGTTTAGTTTGAATAATCGACGTACAAACAATTTTTTTTTATTTAAAAAAATGAGAATTAAAAAAAAAGTACAATTTCCAACAAATATAATTTTTAACTAAAATGTTTTATAAAACAAAAAAAAAAAAAAACTAAAATTACTTTATTCTCAGCAGTATAGGCAAAAATTGAGACTCCAATTTATAAAAACAGCTCACTAATAAAAAATTTTGTTTTAAATATTTGTAAAACAGCCAAAAAATTTATAAAGGTTCAATTATCTACAAAAAAGGTGAGCTTACCAATATTTAGTAACCCCACTATTTAAATTTCACATTCGATCTGACATTTACACCTTGCTACCCTCTCCATTTGCAAAAAATCGGTATACAAGAATCTAATCTTTGTGACACTTACACTAGGCGATTTAGACCATATATTCTTCGGATGTAATAAATTCGGAAACCACAGCGATCAACTTGTTGAAAACCTAATAAAATGCAAAATTTACCCCCCTTCAATTTATTATACCTTCTGTCCCTTAAAAAACTATCGATTTACGACGCCCTTTTATTATTTATCCAGAAAAGTAAATTAAAACTTTAGAATTAGGTTAGACTTGTCACCAATGTTACTTTCCCTTACAAAAAAATCCTCAAACCGCGGTCTACCCATCCTGTGTTCGTCAGTCACCCTGACCGACCCCTGGGTGTGAATAGTTTATTCCTAGTTCCATCCCGCATGCAATTCTTTAAAAAACTCTGGTATGGTCGATTAGGTTAGCTTTAGGTTAGAATATTAATTACTTTTTTTTATTATTATTATTATATTTTGTATTATTCTTGAAAAAAAAAATAAATAAATAAAAAACGAAAAAAAAAAGATCTATTAAAAGAGATAAACATCCACACACGCGAGCTTGAGCAGAAGCCAATGTGCCCGTGTGTGCTTAACATATTTTGTAGCTGACTAAATGGATATAACCTTTCTTAAGAGCAAAAAAAAATTACGCCTTTCAATAATTTGGCAAATTTGAAAACGATTTATCAGATGATTACAATACGTAATAAAATGTTTTAAACGTTTTTATTGAAAATCAGTATGTTTTAAACAAAAAACAAGTTTTATGTCCCTTTTAAATACTAGTATTATAATCGTTATAGAATGTCTAAAAGTGCATATATAGGGTGTTTCATAAGGAATGATCAATATTTTAATCATAGGTTCAAGACCTCCAAATATTAATATTTTACTAAATAACACTGGGTCAAATATTATCTACTACTAAGATACAGGGTGTTGAAGTTAAAATTTATTTTTCGCTTTTTTGCAATATTTTTTTTATTATTTAACATATTGAATTGAAATTGGGCATGGTTATATTTTTAAGTTAGTAAATTATAAGCATGTTATCAATTTTGAGATTAGATAAAAAGGGCACCACCTACGCTTTACTGGATAAAGAAAAGTATCCATTTTTTTTAATCCTGACCTTTTCTAAATTTTTTTCAAATCTTTATGATAAATTTGAACAAAAAAGGTATACTTGTTTTAATAGCATAAATTCAGCTCATATCGAGATTTTTGCATTTAAAATATTCTAGCCACAGTATCTATTTAATTTACTTAACCATATTTCAACATAGTAGGCTTGAAAATTAAAATGACAGTTGTCAAATAATGAATTGTTAAATTTCATTTAATGACTGGAGTGCGTTTAGAAACCTCGCACGGTGCTGGGCCCTATTTTAATGTATGTGGTCAGACGCGCCGTGCGAGGTTTCTAAACGCACTTCTGCAGTGTTAATTTTGTTTTCCAAATTCCATCTAAGTACGTAATGAAAATGCCATGAAATGTATTCCCTTGGCCAGTCCTGATATGAATCCATTGAGTTATTTTTTTTTTTTTAGTTTTATACCTTTTGGTCCTCTCGTGTTACCCCCTAATCCATCTATAGCCCGGCGGCTTATTGTACCACTATTTGAAGGTTCTACTACTACTTTCCCATTGACCAATTCACTCACCTCATTCATCGTCATGGCGGCTTATTGTACCACTATTTGAAGGTTCTACTACTACTACTTTCCCATTGACCACTTCACTCACCTCATTCATCGTCATTCATTCCACGTCGTCGATGGTTAACCGGTAGTCGGATGAGTCCCATGTTGACACGGCTCATGGTGGAACCTTCCAGTGGTCACCCATCCATGACGTGAACGTAGGGATCAATCACTGCTAACTGTTGCGAGTATGTGGCTATACACTAAGCTCGCGACTAGCCTCTACGGCTTTGTATGGGGTTACATGAAAATCATAGGCCATAAATACACGCGACGAATTATGGACAAAAATTCAAGAAGCTTCGATATTATTATTAAAACTAAACATAATACCCTGTATCTTAGTAGTAGATAACCTTTGACCCAGAGTTATTTAGTAAAATATTAATATTTGAAGGTCCTGAACCTATGATTAAAATTAATATTGACCATTCCTTATGAATCACCCTGTAGATATAACGCGCCCAGCCCAGATTCGTCAGATTTGTACGGTGTCGTATACCTACCATGCGATGGAAAGCAGCCGGCCTACCACGGGCCGGGCCAAATTAACGAAGTAGGCCCGTTTGCTTTCCATCTCGCGGTAGACGACACCGTATAGTGTTTCTAGACTCATTCCAACACAGGAGCCATAAGCGCTAGGAATGCTACGAATTCTATATCCTCACATTGCAAATAAGCAAATAAGGTTCACAGATAATAAATTTATAAAATGAAGTATCTACGCCTATGGCAGTTCAGACAAAATTGTCGGTAAGTGTTCGGAACGAGTTTTTATATTCTGCAATTGATAATGGAAGAACTATACCCAATTAATTATTTAATTTTAATAAAAACGGTACGCCCGTGTGTGAAGTCGGCGCCAGTCGGTTATTATGCCATGTTGGATTGTGTCTAAATCTAGAAAGACTATATTCTGGTCAAATTAGACCAAAAAATAGGAGCGAGGGTACAAAAATTCCCACCCAGCTGAAAATTGGTAGGATTGTTCAAAACACCATTATAAATGAAACCTAAAAAGTCCTCATCAATCCGGCACCTGGAAAAAAATTTACTCGGGGTCAAAGGTCACAAAAACGGGTTTTTCGCGATTTTCAGCAAAACGGTAAGTTTTATCACAAAACTAGTTCAGACAAAAATTGTAGAGCAGATAAGTACACCACGTATATACATCACTGAAGCTGTAATACAAGTAAAAATATTCTATCGGTCAGTGTAACTTATACATATACAGTATGTCCCCCTAGGTTGGAATCATATGGAAAACTTTTTTATTGTTAATTTTAGGAAAAAAGTTATTCTTCATAAAAAGTTCTGCATTATCTAAAACCTAGAATACATTCATCAAATATCAAATTTTTTCAGTGGTATACGAGGTTTGTCAAAAAATATGAGTTTTACTCAAGAGTAAAGTACCTTTATTCTTTATACGACTGATAAAATTTGATATTTGATGGTTGTATTTTAGGTTTTAGACCATGCTCGACTTTTTATAAAGAATAACTTTTTTCCTAAAATTAGTAATAAAAAAGATTTTTTTCTTCAAGCGTATAATAATGTTTACATTATATCAAGGTACACGTGTTGTAGATGTAGCCTATTTTTATACTAGTACAAATATTTTTCATTTTTGTACTAGTATAAAAAAGCACAAACCTAATGTTAAATGGCTTATTATTTGCAATCAGTAGGCTGGAACTGTCATTTGAATACTTATTTAATTTGACGTTTGTCAGTGTATGATTTAGAATATAAAAAAAATAGTATTAACCCGTTCGTTATACCCTTAGATTATACAAACCTTAGATGGAACATAAGACACTGCGCATAATCCCATTTCGAAATTATTCACACCCACCAATCACAGTCGAGAACATCATATGTCAGAGCGTTGTCCATCCAAATTTAATGTGTCAACGAAAATTAATTTGGTATTTTAGTGACTTAAATTTTGGAAATTAACGTTGAAAATGCTAAGATGTGTTGTAAAAATATTTATAATAAAAGTGCGAAATGTGACGGAGAAAAAAGAAACTTATATTTATTTCGGTGAGATATTTAATTTTTAAAGATTCTGTTGACGTCCATATTTGTTGATTTGAAAATAAACCGAATCGGACTTGGTCATTGGTACATGTTATAAGTAGCAAATAATGGTTATTATTATAAACTGTTTACTATTTCTTGGAAAGAGTAATATACAATCAAATACAAAAATATCAATTTCATTGCCAATTTATTCGTTTCAAACTTCACACTGGTTTCAATAGTTTTTTCAAAACTATTTAGTATTTCTCTATAACAGCGTTACTCACAGTGTGCTCCGCGGAGCCCTGGGGCTTCGCAACGCCTTTGTGAGAGCTCCGCGAAGAAAATAATCATAGTAAAAAAACAGAACTATCGCCAGAAAATGGAGGGACCTGGCTTGAGGACTTTTTTTTGAGAAGTAATTTTTTTAAGTCACTAAGAGGAAGGAGGATATGATTTTGCTAGAGGACTTTTTTTAATTTTATTTTTTATGGGTGAAATGGATTTGGGATAATTCTTGTAAGGAATCTTTGGAATTAATCAAAAATAAATTAATAGCAAATGATGTTCTTGTGCATTTCCAGCCTGAGTTGCTGATCAAATTAATCGTAGATGCATCAAATGTGGGAATGAGGGCCATGCTATGTAATGTTTTTGAAAAAAATATTGAGAAACCTATAGCTTCTGCTTCGCGTACCTTATCAAAGTTCGAACAAAAATATTCCCAAAT